TAGATGGAGTACTTGAAGTTCTCTTTTGGAGCTCAGAAGTTGTAATCAAATCTATCAGCTACAAAGAAATATAACATATGCATCCTTTATATATTTCTCTCTTTTATTTAATTTCCTTATTGATCAGCCTTATTTATTTAATTTAAGTTTTCCTTTGTAGTGCTTGAATTATACTGTATATAAAAAATTATATTGTGTACAAAAATCAAAAATTACTTCTTATAATATATCAATATTAGATTTTTAATATTCTTTGCGAAATTCCTAGCTTCGGCTACTGGCGTCATAACAATGACTTTTGCATAATTTACTTGAAATAGAATTACAATGAACTATATAATTAGTTAGTAATTTGCCTTTCTTAGTCTTGGCTAGGTGTTTTTCTAAATGTGCATCTAATAGGTTAATCCAAACAAAGCTATTAAAGAAAAATTATAACAGATTTTTGGGCTGTTGAACTTTGAAAATAATCTCTTTTCTCTTCTATACTAATTGATAGGCTGATAGGTTTGACGTAAGGTTGTAATAAAAAGAAAAAGGAAATTTTAGCTCCTATTTTTAATGTATGGTAAATAAATTTTAATTAAAACCCATCAAAAACGTAATATCCCCTTCACATTACCTCCCCCCAATCTTAATTAAAAAGAATAGGCTTCCACACATATCATACATGTAATATGTTTTGTTCCAAAAACAAAAGCCCCTTAGTGCCTCGGGACGGGAGTCAGTGGCGGACCCAGGATTTTGTGTAAGCGGGTTCAGTTGGAGAAGTCCATAACTAACATAAGTGGTATAAGCCGTATAAGCGGGTTCAAAAATAATTTCTGTACAAAATTTACCTTGCTTTAGGCATAATTTATACAGATACGCAGTATTATGTTTTGATGAAGCGGGTTCAACTGAACCCACTTCCCACCACTTGGGTCCGCCCCTGACGGGAGTGGGATACGACCCTACACGCAGGCAACAACAACACCAGCTCAACGAAGTCAGAATCGAATCTTTCTGTTGGCTTTCCCAATTCATTCGTGAATAATAATTCAAGGGCGTGAAGCGAGTACTTCTAGCTGCTTCGCCTGCTTCTTATTATGGCGGCTATGTTTTCGTGGCGAAAATGAACGAAAAGCGAGATGAGCGTGCTCTTTTCAAATNGCTTTTTATTATGACGGCTATGTTTTCGTGGTGAAAATGAACGAAAAGCGAGATGAGCTTCGCTGCCTGTCAAATTGCCATTCTATATAACATGTAATTTCTAATTAATTGAATTATTCTAATCTCTTTTAAACAATATATATTACAGGTTTTTGCTCTGTTTTTCCATACAAGATTATTTGGGAATATGTTCCAAATTTAGCATAGTAAGTAGTTATACTAGGGAAATTTAGAGTACTAGATCCAACTTCATTATTTAGGGATATTGCATTAATAGCCTTTAATTTGGACCAAGTAAATGCTTCAGTGATTTAATAATTTCGTTGCATATTTAACCTCATAACTATTCTGACACTTCAAATAAGTTTCTCAATTTTTTGCTGATGGGGATATTGTACAAATTCTCGAAGAAAAGATTGGATGGATTAATTAATCCAGTTCAAAATAAAAACAAATAGGAGAGGACTTAATTGATGTAACTAATTAATATCAAGTCAAGTATTTAGGTGATGTTATTTTAGTTTCTAACACTTTAATCTCTTTAACAGATCTTTGCTGGAAAAAGTAGTTTAGTTTGAGGTCACACACAATAAAATAAATATAAAGGTAATTTTTGAGTACTAACATTTTTCGATAACATTTTTTTGTTTTGAAGGGAGCCTTGACAAAACTGGTAAAGTTGTTGTCATATGACCAGGAGGTTACGGGTTCGAGCCGTAGAAATTGTTAGAGATATAGTAGATATGCCCTAGATCCAGTCTCATATTTGATAATTTGAACATATTTTTGTGAACGTTATTTGATATAAAATATACTATATATCATTTGATATTCTTTTATCATTGTTATTAATTGTTTGATTAATTTGATAAGGCCCTTGATTAAATTTTGAGACTTGACATTGTGATGGAGATCATGATAATGAGAGTTAAGTTTCTTATAATTTAATCTAAATTTGTTGTTGATCGTAGGATTATTAATTTGGACATTAGTAATCCGGTTAGATCAATATTTATGTGATTGTCTTTATGGGATAAAGATTAGTTGATCTCATCAACTAAATCACATAGATAGACGATTTATAGAGATATGATCATTGAACCGACTCATTGGATAATTCCTAATGGTTAGAATTACCATAAACTGTTGGTAGGATATTATCTTGAAGAATGTGATGTAAGAGTTTCCTTTGACTTGAGATCGTCATAGTAATTGACAAGTTATTTATTGTGCTTTGATACTAGACACATATGGCCCTAGGGTTATAGTTGAAAGGATATTGGGTACGATTAAATACTTGTAGGATTAGTGATTGATCAAGATGAAATCTGTCAACTCTTGGTAATGAGTTTAAGCTCCATGTTGTCATGAATTAAAAACGACTAAACTAAGACCTTGGCCAGGGCAATTGAATGAAAGAAGAAAATAGTTTCTTAGGTCATGCAATGGTCGATTATATTTGACATGAATACATAGTTGGTCGCCTATTAGGATTTGACAGTTGAACCATATCCTAGGGTGACCAGAGCTATAAGGACAGAAGGAAATACTACATTATTCTTCTACGGGTTCTTGAAAGTAAATTGTATACTTCATGCTATCCGATCATTAAGGAGTGTTGCTAGACACCACCCATGATTAGTATATTGATTATGATCAATTTATTATCGGCTTAGTATTGAACCTATGGGTTCGCACACTAAAGAGTATTCTGATCTTTGCTAAAGGATTAGTTACTTTATTATTTGATAATTAAATTAAAGAATTTAATTAGTCAAATAGAGTTATTAGTCCAAATGAAATATTATCGTATTCTTTGCTAGCACAAAGAATATAATTAATATTGTGAACAAATTAAAGTTTCTATTTGAAATAGAAATTAAATTATATCTCTTGATTGAAATATACATATGTGATATATATAATTAATTTATTTTATATAAGAGATGTATATAAAATATAATATTCATAAAGAGTTATGAATTCTAATTGAAATTGGATTGACACAAAGTCCTTAAGGACGTTACGTTAAAGTCCATAAGGACATTACCTGAAAGTCCTAAGGATGTTGCGGCATCTTCCATTATAATGGGATTGTAAAATTTTTCATAAAAATTAAATTAAGTTTAATTTTGGAATTAAACTTTTACCCTAAGTAAATCATCACCTCAACCAAATAGGAAAATAATTTATAGGTGATGTTATATAAATGTTGATGAAGAAAATTTGCCGTATGATTAATTCATGAGAAGAAAAACACTTTGTGAAAGTGAGTGCAATACAAAGCCAAGAGAAAAAAATACAATTACAACATAAGTTTTTCGTTTAATTTGTTCGTAGGTTTCATTGATCAAAGAGTTGATAGCAAGGATCGGTCTCGGCGTGGATACGCATAGAGTCTTCACACTATCGAAGAAATTTTGAAACGAAACTCTCTTCACCGGGTACATCTTAAATTCCATCTTTGACATGTAAATAAATTTTAAACACGAAAAAATCTGCCTAAGATTGTTATTGTCTTCCGCTGCGTGTTACAAACACCTATATGCAATCCTCCAGAAACAGCCTCTTGCAGACAGGAGCGGAGGTAGAGTGCGGGATGTGGGTTCGGCTGAACCCAGTAGCTTTTGTTCAAACCATGTATTTGTCTTAAGAAATCCATTGAATGTGTATAACTTATTAATTTAGAACCTAGTAACTTAAAAGGATTACAATTCCGAACACATAAGGTGCAAACCCTAGCTCCGCCTCTGTTTATAGAATGTATGGTAATGCTGCGTAAAATAGACCTTTGTGGTCCGGCCCTTCTACGAACCCCGCGCATAGTAAAAACTTAATGCACTATGCTGTCTTTTTTTTTTTTTTTTAAAATTTTACGTTTATCGGAAAATTTTACTTTTCTCTCGAACTTGTAAATTCTAGATATCAAATTATTATTAAAAAAAAAAAAAACAGTCTATGCAAACAGAGAAAAGGGAAAAAATATGAAAAAATAGGCAAATCAAAGAGATTCTGTGAGGGGAAATCCAATCAGAGGAAACGTCATAGAAAAGATTTAAGAATATGTTATAAAGTCAATGAGGATTTTAGTACTTAGGTTTTTACTATTAGTAAGTAGGACCCACCATATCTTCAAATCCCTTTTGGATATGACATGGCGTCTTGTCATTTGCTGATGCCATCCACCTCAGGTTGACCATCCTCAAACTAGTACACATTATAGGTTATTCAAATAGAGTAGAATTTAAATACCAAACACGGGTATAGTGGTGTAATAAGCACTCCTTCATTATTATCTAGAGATTTCGGGTTTGAACCTTTTTATTATGAAGTTGCTCTTGTTAGTAGGGCTGTGCACGGATCGGATCGGATTTAGCATATTTCGGATTCGAATTTCGGATTTCGAATTCTAAAAAATGCAATCCGAATTATATCGGATCGGATCGGATTTTAAAGTTTGGATCGGATCGGATATCGGATCGTATTATTATGCCTCAAAGTTAAACTAATATGTATATTTTCTTTGTAAAAGAGGCAATACATTAAGAAAAATTCATGTTTATGCAATTATGAGAGTACTATGGTGCCAATATAGCTAAATCTAGCAATTTTAAAGGTAATAACTTGGAGATTGATGTAAATTAAAGTGTAGTATTTATACATGTCCTAATAATTTCGGATTTCGGATTGG